GTATACCTTACATTTCACCAGAAGATCAATTAATTTGTTTAAAAAGTCAGTATTGATTATCCATATGAGGGAAGACACTGGTCCTGTCAAAAACACTTGGGTGTGTTTGACGGATGCTGCAAATACTGGGGTGACTTTAGGAGAGGATTTGAAATGTCTACGCTGACAAACTTTGAAAGACATAATATTGGTTTTAAACCAACATAAATATCATTTAAACATTTTCTTTGACTGCCAAAGATTTTTGCACAGTGCTGTATGATTCTTCCTATAATCGTTTTTTTTTCTTTTTTCTGGGACCAGCGCTTTTCACTGAATGGAGATCCAGGGCGGGTTGCTCTGGAATATCACACCTGTCCACCGTATGAGGTGCACCCCCCAGGCCAGGTAGACAACACCTAAACCTGGACTGAAAATGACATCCAGGTGTGACTGACGCTGCTGCAGCCATTTTCAGGCAAATGCAGTATACAGAGATGTGGCATTTTGGGGAAACAATTCTATCTTTTATTCTTGCCAGCAGAAGTTCCCTGGGACTCGCGCTCAGATCGGGATGAACTTCCGCTCTCGTCTTCTGGGGTGTCCTGCTTCTCCTGTCCCGAGACCCACCTGTGATGGCGGACGGTCGGTGACGCCTGCCTGGTTGGGGCTCTCCTGACATTCTCTGGTGACTGTACCACCAGTGCGGGGCTCATCCAAAACGCTGTCCCCAGAGCAAACGGGAAATTAAACATCCAAGCTGTGCAAAAGGGGGACAGGCAGGGGGTCTGCTGACACGCAGTGAATGGATGACATCTCGTCACGACTGAATATTCCCGCCTGCTGTCTAGGTGCTGAAAGTTACGCCAGCTGTAGGCCCTCCGCACCCAACCCCCCATCCAGATAAACATTTGGTCCCTGGGTCCCTGCAGCACTTAACTGGCCTGACTCAGCAAGACAGAGCCGACCCCTTTGATCCAGCAGAGGCGTGTGGGTGATGGACGAGCCGGGGGGGGGGGGGGGGGGGGGGAGGAAGGTGGGGGGGGTCCTAGACACACCAAAATGGGGGCGCCTGCACCACAGTGCTGCCTGGAGGGAAGGTGAAGCAATGACATTCTTAATAACACACAAACACGACTCTGCAGTGGCAGATTGGCTGTCACAGTGTAGGGGACCTCACAGAAAACGGGGGAGATTTTAAAAGGGCGCTGCTCTTGCCACACATTTGCAATATTATCACAAGGTGACATCCATGCCACAGATGTTGTGGGAACGTTACTTGCTTAAACCCTCAGGCAGGGCTGCCAGTAAGGAGGGAAAAAGGGGAAGACTTTTATTGGGGGGGGATCCCATTCAATTGGTTGCTCCAGGTCTGCAGAGCCAGTGGCTGCACCTTAGGAGCTCATGAGTAGTAGGGCAGTTGGGTACGTCCCTTGATGTGTGTAGCTTGAGATTCTATACGGGGGTCCCAGGTACCCAGAATCCCAAGGGACTGTAAATACAGGACGAAGAGCTGAATCAACCAGAACACTCCAGAACCACCCAAACCAATCCAGTGGGTGGTTGTAAGAAGGGTCCCGGATGGTCCACCACCCTGAGTGTGGGGCGGACAGACGGAGCCCCACCTATTGGGGGGGGGGGGTGCTCTCCTCACCATCTGCTAAGGAGCAATATGCAACTTATCTGGCTCTCAGCTCCATTAGCTGCGTAATGGAGGCTGATCACTGGGGGAAACGGCTCGTAACAAATGAAAGAAATCCGAAAAAATCAGGGCCCGCCTGGAGACCCGCCAGCGGCAGAGGACGACCCGCCCCCCGTCAAGCGCGTCCTGCGTCGGACCACACGGGGGAGACTGGGAGTACGAGCGGAACTCCACGCCTTTGTTGAGTTCGTTCTGACGGAGAGACGCTCTGCTTTCTTCAAACCGGGATCGGCACACCTTCAGTGCAGCGATCCCATGGGCCCGCCTGTCACCGCGACCGCGTCGATAAGAAGCTAAATCAACAGCGAAACTCTTTATCCAAAAATAACCAATAAACAATGTCAGGGGGAGGAAAAAAAGAATCAGATGTGCGCAAATCTGTTATCTGCAAAATTAATTACAAACAGACACAGGAAGTAGTCGGGGGATCATATTAGCGCTTCGAAAACAAACAGAATACGCTATTGTGTAGGCGCTGGAGCTTCTGCGCACGCACCTCACTCCGATGCCGCTTAATGAGATGCTCCACTGTATCCCCAGGTACTAGTGATTATGCTAATTGTGCTCCAATAGTAGGTACTAATCAAGTTCTCTCGTACAAGGTCCCTCTAACCCGAACCCTTAGTCAGGTTTCACTGAAACGTTCTGCAAACCCACAGAAATCCCAGGCCTCCGTCCTCATTCAGAACACCATTATGTGAGAAACAAATGTTATTTTAAGGCTTGGATAATACCCTTTTAGATATTTAAATTCATTGGGGGGAGACGCTTTTCTGAATAACGCCAGCTATGCTGCGATCTCGAGGTGATTTCAGACATAAGAATGACATGCACACCTTGCTATTTTATTTATCGCTGTTATCATCATCAAGCAGCATTTAAACTGGTGAAACAGGCAGGTTCTTGCATACCCAAAAGGCAGAGGTCCTCTTACAGTCGGGAAACTATATTACCAAGGGCTTCAACTGAAATCTAATAAACATTTTATTTTTTCCATGAGGTATTCAGAACCTTCAAATCAGAGCTGACCATGAATTATAGACTGTCCCTCACACTGGTTTAGAACAATGTCAGTTCATATCTACCTCTGGCGTGGAAATAAATCTTAGGAGGCTAATACTGTTCTAGTAAATATTGATGTCGCTGTAGAGTAAGAGGGCTTTACTTGGAAGGCTCAGGAAGCTCTGTCATCTTTCATTCCCTGGTTTGTGAAAGACAGGTTTTAAGGTTTAAGAGCATCATCCCGCCTCCCTTAAATAGAAGACATCCTGTTCTGGCATCGTTAATTAGCTTACCCTGTGGCTTTCTTGGAAAAGCCAAACGCATGTCAGGCGATGACAGAGAGCCTCTTTACACTGTTGTCTTACAAGTGGTGAGGCTTCTTGACGTTAAGGTTCCACTGGGGGAAGCTGCAGGGCGCTGGGAACCTGAGACCATCCTTTATGGACTAAACCTGCCGGAGCACAATTTGCAGATAAAACATGAAAGTGGGAAGCATGAAGCCTTCTCCCGCTAATCCCACTTCACCTTGAAATCGACCGACTCCTAAGGTTCGTTTAGGATTTTTCCTCACCCCGCCCCCTTTTTTCCCATTTATGAAAAACGTCCTACTGAGAAAAAGAGGGGAAAATCCGTACCCCTCACATTTCTGTGAACTCGGTTTTGCTTCATTGTGGTTTTCCGGCTGCAGAGGCACATGAAGGAGACTGTCAGCGACTGCAGCAGCGGGAGGCTGATCGCCGATAACGTTTCTTTTTCGTTCCGTCCACTGCCAGGAAGGACAGGTAATCCATGGCGGATTATCACCTGCCTTTTCACGTTGTGCAGGTGTCGGACGCTGATATGACACCGTGCAACAGCGCCTGATCGCAATGTGGATCGCAGAGATAACATTTAATGGAGAGCGCTAATACCCAACTGCGGTATTAGCGAGTGTGTTTCTGGCACATCGCCATCCGATTTGTTTTTAATATATTTGTTTTAACTGGCTGAAAGTGTTTCTCAGCTGCCTGTTCCTTCAGCACAACGCCCGTTAGCACCTGTGAGGAAAAGCAGTCGTCTATGAGGAGTGAATTTTAAACACGAACCCATGCCGTGTTTAACAGGGAACCACAGCTCCGCTGCACATGAGCCAGAAATCCTGTCTCCCAGAAATGTTCGGCATAATAACGTAAAACCTCCCGAGCACTAATTTGTTACAGCCCTCTTTTCGAATACAAGCAATCCTGCAGATATTCAGCAAACCCATCATTTGGTTTATTCAGCCTAATTAATGCTCTAAACTATCTGAAGCTCGCAATTGATACATAAATCATTCAGACACCATCCATTCAGTATCAGAATTACGAGATAGTTTACTTGTTAAAATATATTTACATTAATTTGTTGCGCGACAAACACATTTTTGCTTTAAATTTTAATACCAAATTAAACTTTTTTAAGTGCAGATTTGAATATACTGCTACCATTAATATTTTCAAAATAAGAGGATTAAGAAATAGCACACTTTGAAAACTCCAAGCAGTTGGAGAAAGGAAAACAAAGAATAATCTGGCAGGGGCAGCCATGCATTATGTCTGCAAACCAATCTTATCCGCAGAGGCCCGCAGGCGCTAATAAATACAATTTCATTCCAGTCACAACGATTACTACGCCGCTAATAGGTACTTTGCTGTTCTGTTTAGTAACTAAATAAAAGGTCACCATCTGCTGAAAGTACAATTCCAAAAGGAACTTGTATCAACATCTCATTTGAAGCGCACACGGATGACTGAATTGCCTTTCTGGCTTCCCCATTGCTATCCGAGTGACTGTTTGCTACTTTTACTAGTTTTTTTTTTTTTTTGAAGTTTTCATAATGATGTTTTCCTACGATATCAAAGCGCCCCCGTTTTAACAGCAAACAAGCCCCGTTCTGATTAAAGGGAAGACTGAACCTTTGGCTCTGGCTGAGGACCATCGCGGAGACCTGGGTGTTTGAAATTCTTTCGTTTAATTATGCACAATGCTTAGAAAAGCTTCGGACTAGTGAAAGCCCGTAACCGCAACGTTAACAAAACAGCATTTTGGTATCAATGAGAAATGACCCCAGGTGTATTCTTCTAATTTAACAAGCCCTTACAGAAGTGTCGGTATATAATACGAAAATATGTATTATATGTAAAATACTTAAATTACCTTTTTTAAATCTTGCAGAATTGCTAACAGTTATATATGTGGTTGTGGTACAAATACGCGACACGACTGTAGGAAATATGACCAGCTGAATTATTGCTGCCCGGGAACCATAAGATGAAAGAAAAACAACCGTATACCAAAGTAAACTAAGCTTTCATTTATTTCGTTTTCATTTAAAGATCTATTTTCCATTTTCTACATGTACATATTTTTTATTTTCTTTTTTTAAAACTCGTTAATTCCCTCATGCTGGGTGCAGACTCGGCGTGGGAGCTCATGCAGCCGGACATCACAGGGGGCACAGCGGGAAGGCGGATAGAGGGGGACCCGCGGCTTGCACATTCACCAAAACACCACAGTCAGATCGCTGCGTCCAGGAGCGGGGCTGCCGGCCGGGTCGGGCTTCGCGGAAGAGCCGCGGGGTGAAAACCGGACTGGCCATCTCCACATCACCCTTCTCTTCCACAACTCATCTCTTCGTCAGATACCCTCAGATCACATGCCAGTACACATTTCGCGAATAGAAAAAAAAATCATTTGCGCTGTACAGCACATCGTCGATATCGACATGGAAGCCAGACTTTATCTATGTTTCCGGTAAGATTTACATTTTGCATCAAGAAGTTGCGGTGTTGCATTCATAAAGTACCCAGCCCTCTCTCTCGCCACCCTTCTCCCCTCGGCTAACCTTGAAGTCATTAATCTAAACAGTGCAGAACCGGGGGGCCGAGGTGACGAGTGGGCAGACCTGCACACGGTCCAGCGTACGCTGAAAGGCCTCTCAATGACACAACCCCACTCTGCATGCTCAATATGCACAGTGCCGTGACTCTGATACCCGGAACCATTCGACCGTGGCTTAAACGAGGATAAGCAATAAACCATTTGAGCTGCAAATATTTGCAGAGTTTGTGATATAGCGTGGGATATCGCTTGGGCGCTAAGTGTCTGTTTAATAAGCGGGAAGGACCAATCCAAATCGGATATATCATAGCTACGGACATTAGGGTAGGAACAGTTGGGTTTTTATAAACTGGCATATGTTTATGATTTAGATGAGATTTCAAGTCTCTAAAATAAGAATTATGCTTTGGAAAGTGTGTTTGTGTACAAGTCATGTACATCTTTTTTTGTAATACATGTAGAATTTTCACTGTTTGAAACAACAGATTCACAATATTTACATCTTTAAATCCATAGCTACAGAAAACTTAAACATCGGCTGCATCTGTTCACAAAGCTAGAACGAAATTATACACTCAGTCTTTTTGTACAAAATAAAAATACATTAGTAAAATGATAAAAAAAAACAAAAAAAAAAAAACGTATTATAACCAGCAATCTGTGAGACAAGACAGGAAACACAGCTTTAAAAATAGCATCTCAACTTTTCAGCTCAGGAAAAACAAAACAAAAAGACAGAACAAATCAAAAGAAGAGACAAGCCAATGACATCTTTGGTGAAGATTCTCTGTCATTCGGTGACATCACTGTGAAGTGCCCAAATTGCTTGACAGCAGTGAAGAAACAGCCACCCACGCATGCATGCATGCATGCACAGGACCAGCAAAGGCCCAGATGAAAAATTTTCCTTTTCCTGCTGCCTGTTCCTGAAGAAACCAGCGCTAACTAATCTGCAACTGTGAGGGGCTCATCACAGGTAGTGTGTGTGTCTTACTGATGCATGTTCACAGTTCATTACACTACTTGTTTCTGATTCCCAAGCACGCTAATGGCCTGAGGCTAATGCTGGGTGATACGAGTCAGACACAAGTGAATCTGTAAAGGGGATCTCTATGGAAAACGGTGGTCAAGGGGATCCCAAAGAGTGAATGATGGGACCCATGCATGACATCTGCATTGACTTTGTGTGAATTTAATCTACAGCTTGTACAAGTAATCCAACAAATGATCCACGGCTGAAAGCTAAAGTTAGGTAGTACTGCCTGACACAATGTCCTCTACAAAGAGCTGAACACAGTTCAAAGTCTGGACAATCTTCACTTTTTTTATGGTGGGGGGGTAGGGTGGGTCAAATTAGCATACAACAATTGCAATACCATCCATTGGATGTTTGCATAGTTGCATATGAAGCACCGTGTAATGAGAACAACTTGTGCCACCCCTGCATTCATTCATAATTCATATGTCACTCAACAAATGCCGTTCATTGAGTGAGCAATTAGGCTCCTACACTGTGCACATATTTGGACATTCTCCTCCATTCAGAATAAATTTCACAAAAAAAATCTTGTTAAAGTTCTTGTATTCTCATCATCTTCACGGCCAAACATAAATACAGAAACAAAAAAGCAATCACACAGTTTTAGTAACATACTTAACTGGTTGGGTAACAGAGATGTTAAAAAAAAAAAAAAAAAAAGAACTAGAATGGAAGGGAGATGAGCTTCTGTGCAGAATATTCAGAACATTCTGTTCTAAATGTTCAGCCAACATTCTTTTTGAATTGTTCAGCTTCAGCCAACATTCTGTGCGGAATAACTGTTTTTAAACATTCCATTCAGCTAAAGCCAATATTATGTTCAGAACATGCAAAAAGTTGTTTTTTTTAAGGAAATGGCCTATTGAATATATTGGCTGAGAACTTTCTCCGGTGAAGTTTCTTCCTGAAGACCATGTGGAAGGAGACAAAGGGAATTAAGCAATAGCATGGGTGGCCTTATGCTCTCATTCAGGATTACCGTAGGACATAAGAAAGCGAAACAACTGAAGACTGCCATTGACATCCATCGAATGAAGGGTCCGTACACAACATCAACTGAACTGAATTATCACCTTAAAATAATTTTGGTTACCATGCAGAAAGATGGCTTTATTTAACTGTAAACGTGCATTAAATTCCTAAAACCAATACCATTTCAAATAACTTTTAACTGAGTCCAATTAAAATGGCCAGATTTTCAAGTTAAAAGTTTGTGCGTGTGTGTAATATATATACATATATATTACATAAGTCTGCGTGCATGTACATACATACCCACAAACACTAAAACACAAACTCACGTACAAACAAACGCACACGTCAGCGTAGTACCTTTTTTTTATCTTTCAGTGAATCTGAAGACAAATTTATTTCAATTGTCATACTTAATTTCAACAAATACTTTCCATACCATAAATGTAGCTGCACATCTAGGACTAGAGCCTAAACAAACTAAATGGGAGACATTTTCTCTATGTTGGTCTGTTGAAACCTATCCATCTGCTTAAGGAAAGACACGCATGTGCTGCAGTGGACAAATTTCTAACATGCATGCAAACATGCAACTGTAGTGTCGCAAACAAATAGTATCTCTGTGTAACAAAATGCAGGTCAGGTCAGCACCAGTAAGCGTCGGTGGCAATTCCTGCACATGGTAATCCAAACTAACGTAAACTTCATGGGAGCAGGTGGCTACTGAAATCTAACGAGACCTTGAAGGGCGACATGGTGCTTTTAGTAATTCTGCTGTAAAGAAATCCTATCATCAATATACCAGAATATGACACTGTAGGACTAACTGTGTTCTGAATCACTGTGTTTCATCAGGGCTGGGGGGGGGGAAATCAAGGGGATGAGTAAGTGTCCTTTTTCCGAAGATTCTAGAAAAGGAGCATATGAAATATCGTCGAGCGGTTCAGTATCTGTGAGAAAAATCTAACGTGAATTTTTAAATATATAAAACCACATGACACTGCACATGTGCGAAAGGACACCGGTTTTCATTGACATGTCACATGGTAAACGACAGCAACACTCAGAATCCCTTGATCCAATTGCAATTGTTTTGTAATTGAACCCACACACGCTACATATTTGGCATACTATACTCATCTAGGAACTGGCTCGTAATCTTGTTTCCTTTTTCATCTGGCAATTATAAAATGCTTTTTTTTACCATTTCTGAAATAAAATAAAACTATAAACACATCCTTTTTCCAGTTTAAAATCTGCAAGACTTCATACAACGCAGACATCATTAATAACCTTAACAGAGACAACGTTCTGAAAACGTGAAAGCAGTAGTAATGGCGAGGGGAAGAAGAGAAAAGAAAGGATGATAAGACGAGGAGGAATGGAGGAGAAGTAAAGAGGGAAGAGCTGGAGGTCTGGTCACGGACCTTCACATGCACGTACGCACACACACGCACGTACGCACACACACGCACACATGAACAGCTGGTAGTCTAGTGCCCCGCTCTGGTCCTTAAAGTCGGGCTTCCTCTCAGGAGTTGAGGGAAAACTGGTCCTGTTCAATGGGCTTTTTGACCCAGGCGCCCAGGCCGGCCTTGTGGAAGGCCTTGATGAGTGTCTGCTTGGCGGAGTGGTACTCCACTGCTGCCTGCTTCGCCTCGTGGTACGAGCCGGGTTTGGGCACCCGGATACGCAGCGTTGACGACAGCTGATGAGGGAACGGAGGCCGTGTCAGTCATGGGTAATGGTGGCGGGGGGGGGGGGGGGGGGCATTATTGTTGTCGTTATTGTTATAGTGGCAGTAGTATGTTAAGTAGTAGTGGTGGTTGTAGTCTTGGTCCCTAACTGTTCCATGCTGGACTGCGATGTGAAGGCAGGGCCTACCTTGGTGTGCAGGCGCACCCAGCGGCTATAGAGGGCGTGTTTGCAGAGGCGCGAGGGCCGGCCCATGTCGTCCTTCCCCGTGGTGGCATTGATGACCTCCAGTGCCTGGTCGCCCACCGCCCAGTTGACACTGAAGTTGGGGGCCTTGCCTGGCTGCCGTGCCTCTGCATTACTGATCCCTGTAGGGGGCGCAGTGGGACAATCACGAACAGGGGCCAGAGATTAAGGGGAGCGCCACAGAGCTTAATATGGTCTTAGCCTCTGGATGTGTCATCCAATGACGACCGGCACCCAGCCGGAACGATCTGCTACGAGCAGCAGTGGGACGTGGTTTCTGCCCCCCCCGCCGCACTGGCTGGATTAGCCCCCCAGCACATTTACCCAGAAGCTCAGGGACATGCACTAGCAGCCGTACCTCAACCACGCAGAGCTCTCTCTTCAGAGACCAGTGGCAGCCACCGTCCTTCACACAAATTTTTTCCCCCATGTGTGACTCAAAGCCGTTTCATCCCCCGGTTCCCCGGAGGCCGGATTCTACTGGGCCGGGCCGAGCCACATCGGACGGCACGCGGCCGAAACATTAGGACCTGCAATTCCGGTTTAATGGGATGAACAGTGCACGGACAGTGTAAGCCCTTTTTAAAATTCCTTAACCGGAAAAGGTTAATTACCACTCCATTATCTCACTCAAGGTGATTTGAGAGTTGGGGGAAGGAGGGACATGGCCGAACCAGCAGGAATGGGGGCCTCCTCTCAGGTACACACCTGGGGGGTCAGCAGCATGCCAGCTGTGCCCTAGGGCCTCAGCGTGTTGCTTTGTATTGCATGGACCCCTACCAACAACCCCCACCCCCCACCAACACTCTGGCAGTGAGCTGAACACGGGAGATCAGCTGAAATAATGGTAAGCCAGTGGGATGGCAGGGAGGGAGCAGCCAGCAGGCTGGAAAGCCAGAACGCAAACAGAGTCCCTCCTCTGTGTAATAACACGCACCCTGCTTTATCTCTGCAGGACACACGGCGCTGTGGACCCTGGGAGTACGCTGTAGGGACCCGGGGGGGAGGGGGGGGGGCTGACCAGCACAGTGTCACCAAATCCGGTCACTTCACGGAGAATGCACTCAGAGCAGCCCAGCACTCAGCCCGCTTGAAGAACCTCTGCCATTTGCAGGAGCTGCTCCTACACAACACCTCCTCACCCCCCCGGGCCTACCTGGGAAAGGGGGCAATGCCAGGACTCTCCCAGAATACATGGTTGCAAAAGTAAAAATTAAACTTTTATACTTAAGAAAAGAAAGAGAAGCCAGCTTGACAAAAATATCTTATAGGCAACGAAAGGCACAAAAGAAACTGAGCAACGTCTTCCTTCAAAACCTCAAAAAATGAAACAAAACTAGACATTTAAGATAAAAATAGAAACAAATGACCTTATGAAAGAAGGATTACGGTAATATAAATTCCAAGCCTGCTGAGCAAATATCAAGTGAAATCCGGAGCTTGTTAACCCCCACTGTAATATCGAGGACCTGGACTGAGACCATGGATCAAGCACGAGCTTTTCCTGGGATTATCACACATATTTACAGGGATTAAGACACAGAGGGGTCGGTGAGGGGGGGGCGCTGAGGCACACAGAGGCAGGCTGAGGCCTCCGACATTTTATGGAACACGAATGGAGGCGAAATGCGTGGGGCTCACCGCTGAGCAGGGGCCGGTTGAGAGTGAAGGGCTGCGGTAGGTCCTCGATGTCGGCGATGCGCTGGTACATGGCGCGGGACAGGTGGTCGGCGTGGTATAGGCTGCCCAGGATGATGCTGCTGAAGTAGACGGGCTCCGTGAAGTAGCTCATTAGCGAACCCTGGATGCCCACCACGTTCCACCTGCGCCAGGGGGAGAGGGCAGCTCAGGTGTATGGCACGGATAAGGAGTTCGGCTCTCCTGACCTCACGCGGGTTACGAGCGTAAGACGGTACCGACCACGAGGGCAAGCGAGCCACACGGCGGTCACATGGCACCATGGAAACGCTCGCTGGCCTGATCAGGAAAAAGGGGAAAAAAAAACAAAACGATACTACCTAGAGTTCTTTCAAAGGCCTGCCATGAACAATGTCATAAGCACTAATTTTCTCCTGCTATTGGTTTTGGGTCTTAAAAAGACGTCCCAGGCAGGCGGGCAGGCCCAGCAGGGCAGGAGTTTCCACTGTGTCAAATCAAAGCCTAATCAAGGCCGGCCGCTCCCCACATCCGGCTGCAGGCACTCGAGTGATTGGCGCTGGAGTGAAGCAGTGGCCCCCCCGAGCCCCCGAGCCCCCGAGCGCCGGCCGGCCGGCCGCACTGATCACCCTCCCGCTCCACACCGAGCCCGCCACCGCTAACGAGGGCCTTTGAATCGCTACTCACACGGATGTGGCAAATTGGAGCCCTTTTTAACCCTCAGGTGGGACTTTTAAAGAAACAAATGGGGGAGGCATGGGGACCGGAGGATTCTGAGGGGGTGCAGATTCCTGGAGATGCTGCCCTTTACGCGCCGGATAACTCTATGCCTCCGTTCCGCTCACTCACGTGGGTCTCTATCTCCGGTTCTGTCTCTCTGGGTTTGGTCGTGCGTGACCACATTCCCCAGGTGCCCGTTTCTGCCTCTGACGTCTTGGGTAACCTTTAACGAGCCCTGACTCCAGAACGTAACATCTTGGGAGATGGATTGATAAAGCCAAAGCAAATAACTTGGCAACAGTGATGATGCATGGGAGTAGGCTACAAACAATCTATGGCAATGAAAATCCTCTATACGGCTAATGCGCAGTGTGACTATACACCACATGAGGGCGCTCCTGAGCACATCTGACTAATAGATGGTTTGCATCGAAGGTTCTTTGCTTGGCCTGTTTCAGTAAGGTGAATGCTGACATCATTCTCAATAACATTATGAGAGTCAGTAAATCAATGAATACAAAAACTACAATGCAGAGAGTACCTTCAGAAACTGAGGCAATACTACATTTACATAGGACTATAGTCACCACAACTCACAACGGATCCTGACAAGCTATTCAGTTATGTATTGCTGATCCAAACGTGCTTCCTGTGTGAGTGTACTGGTTCTGTGTGATCAGAATAAGAAAGTAGTTGGCCAACCAAAGAGTTTTGATTAATGGGGGCTGTGCACAGGCTAATCACTAAGTTAATAAAGCTACATGTTGGACCAGGGCCAGAGTAATACTTGACTGTAGCTCTTGGGACACCATGAAGTACTTAACCAAGTCACTAAGCACTAAAACCCATCCTGACTTAAGTGTCAACCCAGGGCCTTCAAAGGCCAACCATGTGACCATCAAATACAAAGATTTTCTATACAAAACATACTTCATGTTTGCCATAGACAAAGGTGTGTCTTAAGCATGGTGATTAGTGCCCCCGGTGGTGGGTCGCGGGAGGCAGACCTTGCAATCTTGTCACTGCAGGACATGGTGAGCAGCCTCTCTCCCTGCAGGACCCCGTCCCACGTCTGGATGGTGTTGCTGGACCTCACGGGGATGGTGCCCTCCCCAGACTCGATCTTGGTCCTCAGCTGGCCCCGTGCTTTCCTGTTGGGGTGTCTGTCTCCTTGGTCTGCGAAAAGGAACACGGTGCCCCTTTAACATGCATGCCAGGGCAAATTCTCACAGAGCAGCTCTGCCATGGAAATGGCTTCTCCGCTTGGTCAGCAAAAGTCCTTCACATTACAGACGCAAGACTAAAAATCACTCAACACTTTCCTACAGTTTTATTTAAATGGTTTTAATTAAAATGTTAAATTCTTTGGGTCGTGCAAATGTCTGATTTCTGAGCCAACCAAATTTAGATATCACATTTGTTATTATTATTGTTTTATCATTAAATAAAATATGCCTACCCCATAAACATTAAGACTGAGCTGGCGTGACAGAATGCATCTGTGGATGACTGCTTGGCCTAAACCCAAAGGCCCCAGGAATTACGTCTGCAATTATCTATTTAGGGGATGATTTGGGGTCAGAGAGCAGGGCCTACCAGCACCCTGGAAGCAGCTGGGTTCAAGGGTCGTGCTGAAAGGCCCATTACCGATATGATCACTCTGCAGGGCCCGGGGTTCAATCCTCCTGAGCTACACCCTGCTCCTAGCTTCCTCTGGTATTCAGTTTCCTGTCTGCTGTGTGGGGGGGCATAGATGTATCCCTCATCTATCCACAAAGTCAATCCTCATCTCAGGCATCTATATCTTCTGGTTTTCTGACTACCTCAAATAGAAAGACACTGATCTGTCCTATTTCTGACCTTGGATTTGTGGTGATGGCTCAATCTCCACCACACCGCCCCCCCGCCCCCCACTCATAGGAAAATAAATAAATAAATAAAATACTTGCGTCTTGAGGCAATACTTAAGCCTGATGAAGTCATAGCCATTGAATTAATTAATCCATCAGTTCACCCTGTGTATGCTTGTGCTCGCTCTCCAGGACATCCTCCAATTATAGCCCAGTCACCAAGGCTGCTCTTACCTGCTCACTGGGCCTGTTTGCATGTCTATTACACTAATGGCTTTTGGGAACCTATGGGCTCTCGACGTTAAAGAACAAAAAATCTTTCTGAATATCTGCGCATACAGTTCGGGTTCTGCTCAATAGGTGGCGTACTGTTTAAGGCGCCGGGACCCTGCAAAGGTCAGAGCCGCTTCAGTAAATGCGCGCGGCAGAGGCTACCTTCCACGCCCGCCTCATGGGGGGAGAAGATGCGGGCGTCACCGCAGGGCGAGGTGCTGATGTAGAGGTGGAACTGCACGTTGTCCTTCAGCCGGTAGCCGTGCTTGTCGCACCTGGTGAAGATGGACTTCTGTTGCTCCTCTTTGTTGTTGCTACAGGACAGAGGGGGACAGGGAGATGTAAATCTGCCCTAAAATGGAAGGTAGGGGCTGGTGTACCGCGTGCCCTAGGTCTAGTCTGGAAGCACGTCTCACATGTAAGTCTGTATTCTGTTTTATTAGCCTCAGATATAATTCAATTAAGCACCTAATAGGGCTGTTAACGAGGGGCCTGACTGAAAACGGGGAAACCTATTAGCTTTGCAATAACAGAGCTTGTTTGTGGCCGTTTAGCAACGCTCTGATCGAGCCCCGTTTAGTAGGCTGCCACGTCATTCAATCTTCATTAATGTCACACACTCACGGCGGGTCCTGGGGGGTTGGGGGGGGGGGGAAAGAGTCCCTGCAAACAAGCCATTCATCGCTAGTTGGCGCCGTGGTGGGAAAAGGGAATGATGAAACGGCATCTGGGGTGGCATTATGCCGAGTCCCAAGACAGGAGGCGTTGATGGATGGTGGAGTAGGTGTCAAAGTTAACACCCCCCCAGAAATGAAATTAAGTAACAGATGTGCTAATACAGACGTGTGTATACCGCTTAGCATATAGATGCATTTGCTAGTCTTGTACCAGCAGGGAGCAGGCTAGCGCAACAGTCAGATGGCAGCTACCGGTGTCTGATTTGTGCTACAAAGGCGGTGCATGTGACCCCCAGGTGGTGGGTGTCTGTGGGCGGAGCCTCTCCATACCTGAGGAAGAACTCTAGCTGAGAGTACAGGTAGCGGATGAGAGAGCGGCGTGCAATGATCTCAGCGTGGCAGTCGTTCAGCGCCAGGCCGCGGTCACTCATGTACTCGCCGTTTATGCACTTGGTGCCCGTGGAGACGCAGATTACCTGGGCCTCCTTCACGTCTGTGCCTGGATCAGGGCGGGCGGGGGGAACCAGGATGAGGGCAGGGCTCTTGGACTTTTTTGTTTTTGCATATTTATTGTTCCAATTCCTATACTGTACAATTCCAATTCCCTAACCTCCTGATGTTTGTGGACTGGTTTATGTTGTACAAAAATATTTGTAAGAAAAAGTTGTAAAAAAATAAAAAAAATAAAAAAATTGAACTGGTAAAATGCCCAGGGTGGGGGGGTCTGGAAGATCAATTGGCTGTTTCATAAGTTAAACCATTTCAATTTTTTTTCCCCAGATGTGAATAGCATTCATGAGTGTGAGGGGTAGTGAAACATTGAAAATATACTGGAATACTGGCCACGGACTGGTAGCAGGGGTTGGGAAACCCTACTGTATTACAATGTCTTGTGCTTTATTGCACTGATTTTTGCCCTATTGCCGCCCCCCAACCCCCCAAAGTCTCTGTCCGCTCCCCTGCAACTGTGGCCAGGAATTTCTCTGTGCTCTTCCAAACACACATGACAATAAAACTGAATGAAACTTTCAGGGGAGTGAAGAGGTACCTGTGGTCATGACGACACCGGCCAGGACTTTCCGCCGCGCATGAGGGGACGTGAAGTTGTCGGTCAGCTCGCTGAATTTGTCCACCACCAGACGGGACACGGCATCCGCCAGCACCTGAGACACCGCAGAATAGTGTTTGAGCACCGATCGGGGTCGCTGGTGGCACACGCTGAAAAAGTGCAGCGCACTAGCTGAGACACTTACAGACACACAGAGTTAATGAACTCGCCACAAATGGCAAAGTGATTGCTGGTGCAGAGCAAGGGAACACGTTTCAGAAAGGCATACCTATTACTGTTACTATGGAAGCACTTGACCTTGAAATGTCATGTTGTTTTTCTTATTTGTATGTTTACAGAATAACAGCCAAATGGTCTTTTTGGCACAGTGCATCTATAATCCAACCCCTTAAACAGAAGCTATGAAAATTTCTTGCCCAAGGAACACCCAACATAAACCAAACAGAATTTAAAAATAGATTCAGGACTACAAATCCCAGCATGCACGCTGCAATGGTTTAACTGGGATGGGGGTCAAGAGTCGTGAATGACACAACCCAGTCCTCACCGTCCATTCCCCTCACACTTTAAATACAATCAACGATGTAGAAAATTCGGAGCAAACAAATTGCTGCCCCTATGAGCAGTAATTCAGAGAATGAGCCTGGATTTCTGGTCCTGGAACATTCTAACGGTCTAGGCAGTGGTGGGCAGAAAGGAAATGAAGCTCAAGGAGGCGTTTTACTCAGGCGATAAACGCAAACAATCCCATCATTTAGCATTTCTGCTTTCCTAATTAGTGCAGGCCGCACAGAGGGCACCTTTGCTCACGCCAAATTAAATAAATATTCCAGGGTGAACAACAAATTAGCCAATTAGACAAGAGAAGCAGCATGGTGAATTAAGCATAAGAGCACGTGATCATGTGGGGGGGGGGGAACCCCCAACAACTTAGGCGCTAATTGTCACTTCAAACTCTGTGCCCATAGATCTTGTTAGCACACAGCAGACACTGAGCTCAGGAGTTAGCATTAGCCTGGGTAGCTCAGCCGTACGCAGAAGTTAACGGCTTTGCAGAGAGCAAGACACCGAGGTCAGGAGTTAGCATTAGCCTGGGTAGCTCAGCCGTACGCAGAAGCTAACGGCTTTGTAGAGAGCAGACATCGAGCTCAGGCGTTAGCATTAGCCTGGGTTTCTGGGTAACGGCTTTTCAGTAAACCAGTGGCCACAACATCGCAGGCCAGTCGAGCGCAACTGGACAGAGATAGAGATAAAGCGACTTCCTCTTTAACAAAGCCTGGGGCGGGTGCAGCCTCTCCCCTATCGACAGACACTGGTTTGCCTCAGACACAGCCTGGCCAGAGGGAGATGCATAACCAGCTGCCATGTTTCGACACCTTCGCTGAGGTGATGTTAATTAAGATTATGGTTTACTTTGACGAGCTCTTATCCGAATCGGGGATTATGGGCCAGGATTAACAGATGTGTGCATATATGCGCCCCCCACAGATGGAGGACTTTAGCGCTTCAGCTCTGTGCCGACTTCCACCCCTCCGCCATCCTTCTGTCTGCCTGCCTTTCGGCTCTGAAGGACCAATGACTTATCATGCAGAAAATCTCCAAAAAGCACCAGGACCTCTAAAGGAATGTGACGGCCAATCCAGCTTGGCAGATTAGTTATTTCCGATTCCCATTCTGGTTTGTACCGGTCTTTGCCGGTTTAACACACACTGCACTGTTTACACATATGCATCCATTTTCACAACGCTTCCGGACAGCCTTAACTTTAAAAGACAGAAACCGTTAATATAACCGTAAATCTGAAAATCTGCAGAAGGAAAGAATCAGTAATAATGTGCTTTAATTCACCAGAGTATTAGACAGAAGCTTATATTATATTTTTAATTAAAAAAGAAATATCAATTTCATGCTCACTAGAAATATTACAGTTCCTTTTGAGAAGAGCCGGTGGCTGGGCCCTTTCAGCTTCTGCATGAAACTCAGACTCGTACTTAAAGCTCTGCTCGCTATTTAAAGATTCCACCGGCATCTAATAACGCACAGCAATGCGATTCTCAAACTCGGCCACGTCTCCCAAGGCCAGCAGCAGTTCCCTGCCTGAAACTAAGCTACTCATGAATATTAAACTTGCTTTCAAAACAGGGGGACGAAAAAAACAAAACAGAGAAGAACATTCTTTGAGGAGAAGAGTCAGGCATTAATGAGAGGAATACCCACAAGGCAGCGGGCGACTGGCCTACTTCATACACGGGCGGTACCTGTGGCAGGTGTAGCTGCAAGCCCTCGCGGGGGATGGGCTGGCGAGAGGGCGTCTGGTCCAGCTGCATGTTGAAGAGCGCGGACAGGGCGGCCTGGGCGGCACGTGCCTTCGCCAGCTTCTTGTTGCGGCCTGAGCCCTCGAAGGTCTGCGTGTCCACCGTGACGGCCATGACGAAGTTCTTGGCGTGGCTCTCGCCGCTCTCCGACACAAATTCATACTTGAGGCCCGGCCGCAGCTCGTTGAGGATCATCACGGGGTTTTTGCCGCTGGATGGCGTGGCGAAGGCCGAGGGCGCCGGCAACGGCGACTGGGCCAGGCTGTTGGCGCCGGCTGTCGCTGGCAGGGGGTACTCCCCCAAGGGGCCAAAAGAGCCGTTGCCGTTGGACGCCAGGTAGAAGGTCTCCTCGGGGGGTGCCGGCGTTTCGAAGCCGTTGAAAAGCATGTCGGGGAAGTCGGCCTGGTCGGAGGTGAAATCGGTGTTGACGGTGAGTGTGCGGCCCATGGCCAGATGTGCCTCGGATGCGTTGGGGAACTGCACAAAGGAGCGCAGCGCCTTCTCGGCCGCGCTCAGCTTGGCCTTCTTCTTGGTGGGGCCAGAGCCCTCGAAGAGCTGCCCGTTGACCTCAACGGTCATGACGAAGACGGGCGCATGCACGGGGCCCGTCTGTGACAGCAGCTTGTACTGCAGCCCCGGACGGATCTCGTTCAGCTGCATCAGAGCGTTCTTGGGCAGCACGGGCCCCGGCGTTTTCTTGCGCTTCTTGGGCCGAAACTTGGAATGCGCATGCCCATTATTGCCCTCCTCTAGGGGGCGCTTGCGGCCGCCCCCACCGCTGCCATTCGGAAGCGGAGTTGCCTCGCCCGTCCCCTCCTTGGAGGAGACGTTGTCCAGGTTGCGGTTTTCCTTTACGTCTGTGCTGCACGAACCTGCGGTGCCCAGAAAGAGTAACTTACAACGCCTTCGTTGCAGGACCTTGTAAATGCAAAATTTAACAATTCCTTTACCGCTCTTTGTGACTGAACGGGTGATGTGTGTTCCTCATCTGATTAAAGGGGGCAGTGGGGGAGGGGAGCTTACTGAGAATTCAACAGACTTTTAAATGAGGCATCACACAAAAGTAGCAGAGAAACAGTTACACACGCATAAATGTAATTAAAAGACCAGGCCAGAAACAGCATAGCCTTTTCAGGACCTTGCAGTCGACTGTGAACAATACAAACACATTAGATCAACCACAGTAAACAAAAGCTTGCTGCTATAAAGATATAATAATATTCAAAAGCATTAAAATGAATCAATTAAAAATGCATAAATCAAATTTTATAAAGTAGACTTTATTCATATCTGATGCCATTAATAATTTAAAGAAAGTCTCTCTTATGGCGCTAGAGCCAGTGTGTGTACTGGACTGGGTTGGGGGGTGTCGGTGACACATGGGGACAGGTGGGCAGTGATGTTGGGGGGTGGGGGTTGGATGAAAGAAGCAGATTGACTTAGGGAGCTTTTCAGATACAAGTGAGACCGAATGCATCACCCGGATGCCGCTCTGACCAGGCTGTCATGGGAACAGGGTGCTGCTCTAGTGAATCACGATGTTAACCCCACAACGTCAACCACCTTAACCATTATGGGACTGAGTGGGGGG